GCTAAATAGTCCAGACTGGATCCCTCTGTTCCAAGCTGTTTCTTTTTTCTGCCAGACTGGACCCCGTTAGATAGGGATGATCCAGTCTGGACGCCGCTGTGCAAAGCTGTGTGTTTCTTCTTTCTCCTTTTTGTTTTTTCTTTTCTTTCGGTTTTTGCTAACCTCACACCAGTTACCCTGCCCCCTCAAATGGGGCATCAGCTTTTAACGGTGTTCACTATGGCTCTTCCCACTTCTGCATTGTTACACTATTATGTGTATTTAATATTTGTATTATTTGAATTAATTCTAATACACAACTAAATCTAATACAGCACTTTCTAAAATTACAAATACTTCTATAAGACCAAATGATGGGATGCACCATATAAATGAATTCAGAAAATTACCTAACATAATTCATTTATATTTACATTTATATTCAATTTATACACTGTAATGTAGCTCTCTAAATAAACAATTTTATCTTAATTTTATTGGCAAAAAAATAACCTCATTCTTTAAAAAGAGACTCCAATAAATAAAAAATAAATATGTTTAAATTTAATACATTTTGAATGTGTAATGTGTAAATTACATCTTTAAAGTTAACATTGTGAAAAGGTCACTTTGGTTTTGGTCAATTTCTCATTTTAGTACTGAGCAATATGATGATTTAAGTTTTCACTAAGCTTGTGATTAGAAATGAGACTGACAGTCAAAGACAGATAATTCCTACTTCCACAGAACATGGTTCTTTTTCGCAATTACTCTCTTAAAAATGATATGCTGTGAAATAATTTTAATATTATTTTTAATATATATTTAATATATTGTTTTTGTTTTTTTAATTCCTATAAATTGATTAAGAACATTTTTCATTTGAAGTCCCTATTTTCTGGAGTAATATATATATATATGTGAATTCAGAGATGATTTTCTGTCACTTTTCTGAAAACTTCCTTTAAGAGATTCAGAAAAATAATGCAAAATGATGTGTAATGTGATATACTTAAAAATCCTTTATAGCATTGAAAACAATGTTAACAATGAATGCATGTCTACCTTTCTTAATGTTTAAAAGACAAAATATAAGAAAAAATAGATGTAACAATACATTCAGTAGTGTTCCTTTAATATAAGACCAGTATTACTCCCTGTTTAGGGGACTGAATACTTGATTGAATATTTACATAGTGAACTGAAATAAAATCATTATAAACATTAAAGAGATTTTAATCATGAAATACAACAACACAATATTAAAATTTAAAGTATTTTAATATTTTAAAAATGTTTTTTTATTGACATTTTGTTAGTTGTGGAAAGGAATGTGGAGAAAGTTACAATATGTTTTGATATTTCAAATAAAGCATTGAAACAATGTCATCACTTTCAGAAACAATTTCAGAATTTTGTTTGGAAAATATTATTCACATAGATGCATATTCTCAAAATTTGTTTTTTAGACAAACATTTTCAAGACTAATAAAGCTAGTAAATCTAGTAGCAGTCATTGGAAACACAACCTATAAAAGAGATAGAAAATCAAGTAATATGTATCTGCAATGTCATAACACATCTCTCAATTAAATAGGTTGCATAACTAGCTAACTCTTTCACAGACATAAGAATATATATTTTTTAAAGGTTACAGTATTTCCTTTGCCTTTGGTTTCTGTAATTTCCCTCAGGGGATCAATAAAGTATCTATCGTGTTGAATTACAATTCTCTGATACAATATTTTTGTTGTTACTTTTGCATTTTGTTCAGATATGTTTAGAATGAAATTCTCAATAAGTGTAACAGGCGATGGAAGCCTAAGCCTTTGCTCATAACAAAATAATTAGTGATATTCAATATGCATTTATTCATAAGTATCAAAAAACCCTTTACAAATTTCAAATTTACTTTTCTTTCCCATGATTTCCAAAGTTCCAAAGTCCAAAGGAATGCTATCTTTGTTAATTTATTCTGCTAGCAACTCAGTCCAACAGGAGTCTTTTTCAAATATTTTACCAGTGACAATAACACTTGTTGCTTTTCTGAACCAGGTGTAGAAAAAAGCATATATAATGGGGTTACAAGCGGAGTTTAAATAAGCAAACCAGAATGTGGTGTCTACCAGGATAGGTGACATTGAATACTCAAGAATAGGATTAGAGAAGATACAAACAAAAAAAGGAGTCCAGAGGAATACAAACACTCCCACTACTATGCCTAAGGTTTTTGCTGCTTTTCTCTCCTGCTGACTTGAAACTCCAACCTTGTTCTCTTTAGAATCTTGAATTTGTTGTGTTATATCTTTGATAGACCTGGCCTGATGTCTGGCTACTAAATATATTTTAAAGTAAATTCCCAGCATGATAAATGCAGGAATAAAATATGAGAACAAAGTGGACAGAGGTCCAGAGAATTTACTGAAAAACATAAAACAACCCCCTACACAGTCAATATATCTGTGATAAAAATCCTCTATCCCTTTTATATTCAGCTTCAGGAAAACCATTGTAAAGCCAAATAACCCCGAAACTACCCAACTGATTATGATCATCAGAAGTATGACACCAGACGTGATTTTGGTTCTGTAACTCAGAGGGTTACACACAGCAAAGTAACGGTCAATGGAGATGGAACACAAGTGGAATATGGACGCTGTGGAGAGCATCATGTCAGTGGCCGTGTGAATTTGACAAAACAAACTTCCCAGGTACCAGCAACCTTCAACAGCATAAACCATTGTGTTAGGCATGGTGATCACTCCCAACAGAAAGTCGCAAACTGCCAGTGAGAGAATCAAGTAATTTGTATTGGTATGGAGCTGTTTGAAGTATGCAATTGAAATTATAACCACAAAGTTTCCACACACTGTGGCCAGTATAATTATCACCATAATAAAGTACAGTACAAACCGTAAGGTAACTGGTTTGGTTACCCTTCTACAGGAGCCACTAATGGATTCAAAACAGAAGTGTATATTTGAATTTTCAGTAAAATTGAAGTTCTGTCTGACCGAGGAGCTCATCTCTCCAGGTGTGGTGATCCCTGAAAAAAGCGTGTCAAACTTAATTTTCATTCATAAAACTCCTCACATGAGGTTTTTAATAGATAGCTTTATATCAGTCTATACTTTATGCATGTCATAATAAGGAACATCTTTCTGGTGTTCTTAACAGAAAGAACTTTAATATCCATATATCCCATTACTGTATATATACTGATGTGCAACACATTTTTCTTATACTATATGACTTTATATACCTTTCTATTCAGACATGTATTACATACGGAACAAGTAATAGGTTTATTCCATTCTGAAAAGAGAAGAAAGAAAACACAACGTTTCTGCTTCACACCTGAAGAAGGCTCCACAGCCGAAACATTGTGTTTTCTCTCTTCTTTTTCCAGCCTGGAATAAGCCTATTACTTGTTCCTTTACAGCCTACGCATGCTGAGGCAGCTCCCCACATGTATTACATACTGTACATATAAAACTTTATTTCACCAGATAAGTCACTTTACAGATTTTTCATTTTCAATGAAGACCACTCAAACAGAAGGGTATTTACTGGAGCAATTTGAATAAAGTTACTTGCTCAAGAGTACAAAAATAGCATCCCTCTAGGGATATAAAACCCATGATCCCCTGATCCAGATTCCACTTCTCAAAAAAATAATAATAATGAATATTCTTTGAACATTTTGTAGAGATCAGAAT